CTGTCCTAATTGGGGGTGGGGGGGAGTTGTGGATCAGGGCCCCTTCTAAAAATGTGTAGGAGATATATCATAGCCTAGCTCCATACGAGGTGGTTGGGGTACCAGATAGACCTGCTCTCGTTGCCCCCGCTCATCTTTCCCTAAACCCTTGCGTGGATCAAAGCTTGTAGCATCCTATGAGAAACCTTAGTGCTGGGGTTATGCAAAATGGCTCCCATTTCTTGTAACCCATCTCTTCCCCATAAATTTACAGGCAAATCTTTTAGCATATGTGGTATAAAAGTGCCAGTGTTCTTCCTCATTGGGCCAGGAGACGGGGCAAGCACTCTGTAAGAGAGCTGTGGTAGAGCCGACACCCTTTAAGTCGCCAGTGGCCTGAATACAGGGCCACTTGGACAGCCAATGTTGCTCCACAATTACAGAAACATCTGCCCCTGTATCTAACAATACCATAAAGCTTTGCCATTTCAAAAAGGAACCATCTCGGGGTGATCAGCAGTGACTCACTGTACCCATAGGTATGACTGGAATGTCCAAACCCTTTCTCTCCCCACGGGGTGGCAGTAGGCACCTTCCCTGCTTTTACACTGGGAAAGATCACTAATTGTGCAATCTTGTCTGTGGGAGCAATGGCTACAAAGTTCTGAGGGGCTTGAGCAAGAATCTTGAGTGCTCCTGTGTAGTCTTGGTCAGTAACCCTGGGATGTATCTGGAGGTTCTTTAAGAACGTACTACTCCTGCCTAAAATTAATCCTACTGTATTTTTTGGTAAAGGCCCATAAATTCCCATGGGGACAGCCTGAACCCCCATTTCAGGAGTTAGGACGTAGCAGGAAGTGGGACTGAGGTCCAGTCCTGTGCTTCCTGGGGAGGCCTGAAAGAGTATGCCTGGACTCTTCCAAAACACAGAAAGTGCCCCTACTGTTTGGTGGGGCCGTGGCCAGCCCCATGGGAGTTTCCCTGAGGTGACTGTAAGGGGCAGCCCTCAATGTCAGTCTGAGATCAGCAGTGACAGCCTCGTCTGCAGTGAAGAAAGATTCCGGGTGACTCAGGCGCCTAACTGGAGGGCCCAGAAACCACAGGTCTAGGAATTTTATATTTTGAGCCTTTGTAGCATTCCTTAGCAAAATGCCCCAGTTTACCACAATGATAGCAAGTATTTTTCTTGGAAGGATGTAAAGTTTCTTTAAGTGCGGCAGTGAGTACCATCCCCTGAATATAACCTCCTTCTATATCAGAACAAAGGCAAATCAAGTCCTATAGAGCTTTCTTTCTATATGGGCAAAAGGCTTCCTCGCAATGTTTATTTGCATTTTCAAAAGCTAGTTGCCAAGTTAATATTGTGCCAGTTTCAGGATTCCCTACAGTGCGACCAATGTGTTGCATGAGGCGTGCCACAAAATCCTGAAACGGTTCCTCAGGGCCTTGTAAAATTTTTGTAATTTTCTGTGACTTGTTGCCTTTAGTGGGCAGCTCTCTCCAGGCCTGAGTGGCAGCAATAGCAAGCTGCTCATAAGCTTGTAGAGTGTAATGGGGTTGATTCCCCAGCCCTGCATGATTTCCTTGGCCCAATTACATATCCACAGTTATGGGAACGCCATGAGCAGTGTTACAGGAGGTCTGCCTGCTCTTTACATAATTCTGTATAACTAGTTTTCCACAAACGATAATCCCTGGGACTGAGCCAGGACTTGGCTATGGCCATCCAGTAGTAAGAAGGCAAGGCAGTATCAGCAGTTACACTGCTTAGCAGCTGCTGAGTAAAAGCCGCTGTGGCACCATACATACTACATGCTTGTTTTAGTTCTTTAAGAGTTTTAAAAGAAATCTGCTCATGCCACCTTTGTGGCTGCCCTGTAGCTGGGTCAACTCGTTCAAACACTGGGTGGGCATGAAATCCAGAAGTATCCTCTCCTAAATCCCGTGCCCTGGCAATAGCACTCTGAAGTGGGCTCTTCAGCGTAAAATTCTCTCCTTTAAATGGTTTAGACTGTAGCTATGTCTGATGGATTATCAGTGCACCCTGATAATCTTCCTCATTTTCACTACCCTCCAAGCTAGACTCGCTCTCAGAATTGCCGCCAGGGAGGGGAAGTTTATGATGCTTAAAAGTTGGCAGGGCCTCTAGCAGAGGAGCCATGGTAGCAAAGGGTAGTGGTGGCTGAGACTTTTCCGATATTATGGGTTCTCACCCAAATGGCTGCTGCCACCTGAACCTCTGCATCCCCCAGGCTCTGATTCTGAAGATTTGATTTTTAGTTTATGAACAGGGGCTGGGTCTAAACAATCCCAAATCAGGCTCCACATGATGAACGTGAAGGTCTGTATTTAACGGCTCCTGAGTTTTTCTCCTATCTTTTGCCAGGTTTCTAAATTCACTGTCCCTTCCTCTGGGAACCAAGGGCACATATTCTACACATAATCTAAAAACTGTAAGTTGAAGCAATTTAACCTTACTACCCCTAGTTTTAAGCATATCTCTGAGCATCTGTACATAAAGATCTCTACCTTTAGATCCTGTTTGTCCCATATTATTTTACATCTGACTATTTTCAATATCGCACTCTCCTCCTTGCCTTGTTTTTTGTTTAGACGCATCCCCTGGAGAGTGTTCCCTTGCCTGATCCTCTGAGATCCCCGTAATCAGGTCCCTGTTTGGGCACCACCTCTTGCATCCTGCACAAGTGATTGGGAGCGATGGGGAATGAGAAAGACAAAGACACAGAGAAAAACTGGGATCAGATGGGCTACTGCTCCTGATGAGAGTCATGACCCCTGAACTACTCCAGCCCATTTGTTTTATATGTAGGAACAAGGAAGTGAAAGCAGGTAAATCTTTGTGCATCAGGGCACATCAGCAGTAAAGGTTATCCACAGATCTTCAGCATGAGGGGCATCAGGAGGTCTCACAAGGAATTCATGGGTTGTTTTTCTTCTTGCACTGGGGAACAAGTATGAGGATGTGGTTAGGTATTTTCTAGGGCTGAAGGTCAGTACGGAGCTCTGGAACTTTTGCAAGAGAGCTGTGCAAACTCCTGTGGTTCTGAGCTGGGAAACTAGGGCTGTGCAGGCTGGGCTCCCTTCCCAAAGCATGGGTAGGCCTATGCCAGGGGACCGACTCTTGGGCCTGGCTTCTAGTCCCCTACACAGGGAAGTGTGGGGACAGATCCCAGCCACTGGAGCAGGAAACCACTGGGGACAACAGACCACCTGGTGGCAGACCCCTCCCCCACTCCAGGGCAATATGACAGGGCCTTGAGGGTCATCTTACCACAGAAGGAGACAAGGGAAAGACAGTCTCGAAATGTCAGACCCAGAATGTGACTCCTGGCCAGTTACTACCCTCAGACCTTTGCTACAGCTTCCTGGTTCAGGCAGGTCCTGGCCAGCCACTGCCTTTCTATCACACCTGCCCCATGAAGGCCTGGGTCCCAAACACCACATGGACCTGAATAACCTCATAGGCTTACCCATGAAGGAATCAAAGCTGTGCTCACACAAACATGCAGGTCTGGACAGAGGCCAGGGACTTAAGTCTGAGGGTCAACTTGCAAGCACAGTGCTCCAAAATACACTAGACAGTGCAACACTGCACACACTGCACACACCAGACTTGCTGCTAGTGTTGGGGCTGGAGACTTAGCTTCCTCCTCCCTCCCTTTCTTGGAACCAAAGAACTTGCTTAACAAGTCCCAGTATGTGAAGAGTGTGGCAGGTGGACACCCACAGAGTGGAGAACTCCTGTAGGCTCAGCTCCTGACAGCGCCCTTAGTTTTGCACCTGTAGCTGGCTCAGCCAGTTCTGGTGCATTAGGAATGCCTTGGGGGCAGTGCAGATGGGGCTGGGTGACCAGGTGGACCATTCTGCCCTAATTCCAACTGGTCCGTACAGCTCCCAGGCTCAATGCCTACAGGCGAGCAATTGTGGGGGATGGGACACTCTCCCTGTGGTTTGGCCCATCCTGGCCCTGTGGGTCTTGAAAAGGGCCCTGGATCTTCTCTTTCCAGGCCCAACTAGGAGCCCCAGCTTTCTTCTTACTGTGAAGGTAAGGTGAGGGCAGGTGTTCCTGACTGGTGGTGGTTGAGGTCTCCTGCTTTGGGCTGGGCAGGAGACAGGGGCCAGTGGTTGTGCGTGTCCAAGGAGGCTTGTTGGCCTGAACTCACCATTCTGACTGCTCCTAATCACAACAAACTTTCCCTCCTTGGAGCAGAAACTGCAGGGCATAGGTGGTAGTGGGGGAGGGCAAAAGCCAAGACACCCCCTTAACCATCAGTTTGGTCCAAGCCTTCTCCAGCCGCCCTCCCTCCAGCTCAGGCTTTAAATGATGCTCACCTACTGAATGACTGCCCATGAAGATACTTCCGTGTAATATCAACGTAAAGAAAAACCATTTCAAATGCAGCTCGACCCCAGACAATTTCCTACCCGAACTCAACATTCTACCCCGGAGGCGTCCCCATCTCAAGAAACGACACCCCCTCCTTTCCTGGACACTTTTGCATCTCCCAACTGTCCTGCTGAAGAGGATTCCCCCGCCTCAGAGGTGTCTAGCCACCGCACCCCTCACCTTCGGACACAAGCAGCCGCCCCCGGAGGCCCGCTGGACAGGCCGCCCTTGTCCCCCTGTCGGGGCGCTAGTCGCAGGCAGGGTCTTCGCTCCGGGTCCACTCTGCAGCCCGGCTCGACTCGGCCGAGTGAAGGGTCAGGGACGGGAGAGCACGGTACTCCTGGTGCCGATCGGGAGGCCGCTCGGACCGCAGGCCCCCGGAGAAAGGAGAGGGCGGGCTAAAAAGCTAGCGGAGACCACGAAGGTGCGGACGACCCCGGTAGCCAACCGCGACCCCAACCGTGCGGATGACCCAGACGCCTCAGCCACCCCAGCCCCGCCCCCGATCGAAGAACACGTGACCCGCGTGCGCCACTGAGCGCGCGCCCCGCCCCCGGACGTCCCCGCCCCCACGCACGCACGCACGCGCACGTCCCGCCCCCGCGCATAGGCGAGAGTGCTGCCTGCGGCCATGGCGTCCGAGCGGCTACCCAGCCGGCCGGCCTGCCTCCTGGTGGCCAGCGGCGCCGCCGAAGGTGAGACGCACCGGGCACAAGGCCGTCGGTCGAGTCGGGCGCGGTCGGCTCAGGAGCGACAGCTGGGCGGCTGGGCAGGCGGGAGGGTCAGTGCCGGGCCGGCGTTTCTGGGCGTGGCGGCTCTGTGGCCCTGGCCCGGAGGCCGGCGTTTCTGCTGGAGGAGTCGGGGTTCTCCGCGGCTGCACCTGTCCCCCCGGGGCGGGCCCATCAGGACCTCAGTGCGGGTCTGGAGCGTCTGCCCTAGGAGGCTGGGTGGCAGGTCGCGGGGGCACCGCGCTGGTCTTTCCCTTGCCCTGTTCCCGGCCTCGTGCTCCCCGGGAAGCGCTGCGGGACGGGGCCAGCTGGACGGACGGCCAGGGCGGCAGAGACGAGGTTCCGCTGACCTCGCACAGGGTTCCAAGCAGGTGCCCAACTGCCCGGCGAGGCGTGAGCATCTTGGCTCAGCTTGAGGAGGTGATTCCTTCGAGGGTCCTCAGGGAAGTGACCGGAGGAAGTCACACTGCTGGGCTGTGGGTGGGGGCCGGAGCTGAGACTTAGGGGGTTTCCCTCTCGAGAGGGGACTGCAGGGTCGTGACCTACTGAGCTCCGCCCCAGACCGAGGTGGGGGGAGCCCCGAGGCCGCTCAGCGTCGGCAGAAAGTCCGAATGCCAGGCTGGCTGTGCCGCAGGGACGGAACTGAGGAAGTGGGGTGACACGGGGCTCTGAAAAAAGCCATTGGACTGGGCGGATCCTCGTGGGAGGGGTGGTGAGTGAGGGTTTGAGGATGTCGAGGGGCAGAGGTTGGGGAGACTTTGATTTGCTTCGGTTTGTGTGTTTTTTGCACTGGATGTTTATTAATTCATAAGAGTGAGTAAAGATTAAAATGTGCAAGAATTGGGTCTTGGTAAAAGCAATTTAGAAACCAGAACACTGAAGACGAAGTGGGTGTGTGCTGCCTCTGTCGGATGCGGTAGAGCTGGATGCGGTAGAGCTGTGCTCTTCTCCTGTGGGCCTGGAGTCTTCTGAGCTGGGGGTGAGGGGGCGGTTTTTTGAGACAGGCCTCACTGTGAGGCGCATGCAGCTGCCTGGGGCTATTGCTCCTCCTAACCCTCCAGGCCGGCACTCCCACACTTTGAGGGTCCTCAGAGCACAGTTGAAGCAGCATGATGGGGGCAGAATCTATACTCTATACCCCTGGGAGGAAGGGACCCTGCGTGTCCTTCCTCTGGGGACAGGTAGGGCACACCTCTGCTCTCTAGCTGCCTCTCCCCATAGGCCCACCTCCGTGGGGATGGGCTCTGCTCATTGCTGCTATAAGGGGCTGATCTGAGCCTTTGCCTTTGGAAAGGCCTCTAGTGGGTAAGGATGGGATGAGGCCAGGGCCAGCATGGCATGGACAGTTGAGGTGGGCTGGGTTCTGCCCCTACTTCTGGCTGGGCTTGATTGAAGGTGGAGGTACCAGGCCAGAGAGAGAACCTTCTCTGGAGGTTGCAGAGCCACCGGTTGGCCTGTAGGTCTTGTGGGGCCAGTGGGCCAGGGTTGGCAGAACACAGATCTGGCTGTGCCCCTCTGACCACATCATCTGAGCTTCAGCTTCCTGGACCTGAAGAGGGAGGGCGGTGGCTGTGCCTCAGGGGAGTGGGCCCTGGGGTAGGAGAGATGGGCTGCTCCTAAGGGTGATTCTGGGACCAGAAGAGCCCCCCAGAGGCATTGGGGGCAGCCTCCTGGGGTGGGGATAAGTGTGGGACAGCCAGTCCTGCCAAACCTATACCTGTTGGGGACCTTTCTCCTCTAGGTGTGTCAGCCCAGTCCTTCTTCCACTGCTTCACGATGGCCAGTGCTGCCTTCAACCTGCAGGTGGCTACTCCTGGGGTAAGTACAGTCACTTCTCTCTGTAAGTACTCAAGTAAGTACAGTAAGTAAGTACTCAAGTAAGTACAAGTAAGTACTCTCTGTAAGTACCCAAGTAAGTACAGACACTTGGGTTCTCCCTCTCTGGGGATGAGGCCAGGAGCATTGCTGGTGTTGCTCCCTGGAAGGAATGGGGAGTCCTCTGTAGTTTGTGTGACCCCACAGGAGCTGACTTGGAGTGAGGGATCTGCAACCAAACCTGGTAGCACCCTCAAGTGCTAGCCTCATTTCTTTTTCTTTTGCATGTCTCCCAGTGGGAGATGAGGCTCAGCCCATAGTATGAGGGACATGCAATTTCCACTGGAAGGAATACTTTTTTTTTTTTTTTTTATGGTACTGGGAATGGAACCCACCCAGGGCCTCAAGCATGCTAGATCAGTACTCTCCCATTCCAGCCATACCCCCAGCCCTTTTGCTTGTACTTTTTTTTTTTTTTTTTCCAGTATGGGACTTGAACTGAGAACCTTACAATGGCTAGGCAGGTGGTCTACCTTTGAGCCGTATCTCTAGCCCTTTTTTGCTTTTAGTTATTTTTCATATGGGGGTCTTACTTTTTTGCTGGCCTGACCATCCCACCTGTGTCTTCCTTGAGCTGGGATTACAGGTGTATACCACCATTGGTTGAGATGGATTCTCACTAAGGGTTTTGTTTTATCTTTTTTTTTTTTTCTCTAGTGGGACTGGGGTTTGAACTTAGGGCTTCATGCTTGCAAAACAGGCACTCTACCCCTTGAACCACACCTCCAGTCCATTTTTGCTGTAATTATTCTGGAGGTGGGATTTAGCGAACTGTTTGTACAGGTTGGCCTCGAACCTTGATCCTCCCTATCTCAGCCTCCCAAGTAGCTAGGATTACAAGCATGAGCTACTGGCACCCAGCTTTCTTGCTAACTTTTTGCCTAGTCTGGTCTCAAACCTTGATCCTCCTGATCTCAGCTGGGATAACAGGTGTTTGCCACCACACCTATTTGGTTTTGGGTTTTTTTTTGTTGAGACAGGATCTCACTACCTTTACCAAGATTGGCATCAAACTCGAGATCCTCTATTGGGAGGAAATTCTTGGTCCTTTGATGGTGTAGGCCCCAGGGACATCAGATGTAAATAGGTCCACAGCAAGGATGCATTGCATTTTTGTGATTTTGCCTGTTTTGAAGTCACCTCTGAAGTGGGTGAGACAGTTGCTGCCACTTTCTGCACAGGAGACTCAGGAGGGAGCAGGGTGTGGTGTAGCCCCTGGTGAGACCTCAGAGTGTGCCAGCTTGGATGTGGGGCTCTGCTGGGCCACCACACATGGGGGTCTGGCTCATTAATCCTTCCTAGTACTCGATACCCTGTCCTGTAGCAGCAGCTGAGACAGTCTCATCTTGGGGTGTGGTGGTCACTGGAATTCCCTGGCGGGGCAGCCCATAAAAAGATCTGTGTTCTTAGGTGCCTTTGCACCCTGAGAAGCTGCTTTCAGGGTTCCTCCCCTTCCCATTTCCATCATTTCCATGCTCCCTGTGAACCAACAGCTGGGATAACCCCAGTGCTGACCCTCGTCCTCTGGGCTCTGCTCCTACAGGGAAAGGCCATGGACTTTGTGGACGTGACCGAGAGCAATGCACGCTGGGTACAAGACTTCCGTCTCAAGGCCTATGCTAGTCCCGCCAAGCTGGAGTCCATTGATGGTGGGCTGGGACTCACACCCTGCTAGGCAGCATGGTCCTCCCCCGGGTGGGTGCCTGAGACTGTAGGGTCAGCTTATAGGCAGGTTTAGGGTTTCTGTATGTTCCCCTTCTCTGCCCCTGAAGCTCCCCTGGGGCTTGCTATGAAGGTCTGTGGTTGCAGACAGCCTCTGATCCATATCCATGGGCCCCAGTATTCCCATGCTCTGGGGAGAGTGCAGACTGCAAATCAGGCTGGCCTGAAGAAGCCTGTGTGGGGCTGGGGAGCCATAGCCGGTGTAGGGAAAATGACAAGTGATGCCATCTAGCCAGTGGGTCCCTGTGGAGGGTTGGCCCCTGCCCTTGTGACTGCCTTGTGACCTCTTGACCTGTGGTCTCCCTCAGGTGCCCGGTACCATGCCCTCCTGATCCCTAGCTGTCCTGGCGCCCTGGCCGACCTGGCCAGCAGTGGGTCCCTGGCACGCATTCTGCAGCACTTCCGCTCTGAAAACAGTGGGTGATAAACTGGAAGACCGACCAGCAGGCAGACACAAGAGTGACAAGGAGCAGGACAGACAGGGACAGATGCTGGGGTGACACAGCAGGAGGACGGGCGGGGGGCATCTGTGGGGTGATGAGGACAGGCGGGGGCAGATGCCTGGGTGCAGGGGTGGCAAGATGGCTGAGAGCAGTGGGTGAGGAGAAACTGGAGAACAAGCCAGGATGGCAGAGGCGGGGTCACTGGCAGATGCAGGGTTCAGAGTTGGACATGCTGGGTCATTTCACCTGCCAGTCAGGTAGGTGTGGAGAGCCACAGTGGCTCTGACCTGCAAGGGATAAGTTTGCCGTGCTGTCCATGCACACCCTTGTGTGTGCAACCTTCAGGGCAACTGTGCGTTCTTCCATCATTCGCTGTCCTGCAGGCCTTTGCAGGCTCTGAAGAGGGTGGGTGGCTGGGCCCTCCTGGGCTCCTCTGTACTGGACCAGGCAGGATGTGACAAACACGTCTGCTGGCTGTGCGCTCCTTAGTGGCCAGTCTGCAGACTGTCTGGGGCTTCACACAGTGTCTTTTTTTGGGCCTGAGCAGACAGCAGTTGTTTCAGCCACCTCAGCCGTGGAAACGCAATGACACCAAGCAACCTTTGGTGGGGAGCCAGGGTGGCCCCACAAGGCCAGGGAACCACCTGGGAGCACCTTACCCGGCTGTGTAGGGGCAGGCAGTGGCCTGGTTCATGGACCTCGATCTCCTTCATGCCCTCCTCACGTGTGCCTTATCACCAAAACCTGAGGCGACCCAGACTCTAGATCAGATCTGGTCTTAAACCACCCATTATTTGGGGGTGCTGGTTGGGAGGGGCTGGGCCATGGTGGGCATCCAGAGGCTGAGGTGCCTTTCTGCTTTCAGAACCCATCTGCGCCATTGGCCATGGTGTTGCTGCCTTGTGCTGTGCCACCAGTGAGGACAGGTCCTGGGTATTCACCGGCTATAGCCTGACAGGGGTGAGTTCCTTGTGGACAAGCCATTGTCCCACAGTCAGGCCACACCAGGTGCAGAGTCCCACAGGCACTGTCACCCTACCTTCCCATGTCACCAGAGCTTCTCTTTCCTGAATTGAGGACATCATGTCCCATGTGACAGGTGCCAGGCACATGTGGATGAAGTCGGGCAGCCTGGGACCCTCCAGGGCAGGCTTTGGCCCCTTGAGCGAGGGCCAGTCTTCATCCAAACAGGCATTGTGGAGTCCACAAAGGGCTTCCCCTGGGACTGCCAGCCCATCTCATCTTGGCCCTGTGTGCCTGGTGCTGGGGGAGCTGGTCAGTTGGACTGCCGCCACAGTGCCCTTATCTCTGGCTTCCTGTCCCCTTCTCTCCTCATGTGAAGAATGGGTCCCTGCTCTACTCTGACTTAATCTTTGGGACCAGGGGAGGGCACTGGGCAAGGCAGAAGGCAACACTGCCAGGGACTGGTTAGTCTGGCTCAGACCCTTGCCCCCACAGCCCTCTGTGTACGAGCTTGTCAGAGCACCTGGCTTTGCCCACCTGCCACTGGTCGTGGAGGACTTTGTGAAGGACTCAGGAGCTGGCTTCAGTGGTGAGTCCCAGCTGATGCCCCCACATGTACAGCAGATGGATAGGGCTGCCTGCTGCATCCTGGGGAAGCAGCCCGGGCAGGCTATGACCCTTGGACCCTGCCTGGTGCTCACAGGACCTCAGTGGGTGGGAATGGATCTGGGGGCATTGTGGGGTTAAGTCCTGTGTCCTGTCCTTCTAGCTAGTGAGCCTGATGCTGTGCACGTTGTTCTGGACCGCCACCTGGTCACTGGACAGAATACCAACTCCACTGTCCCTGCTGTGCAGAACCTGCTCTTTCTCTGTGGTGGCCGGTAGGCTTTGGGGAAGGGCTAGGGGGACTCCTGCCTTGTGACCAGCCCTTTGCTGGGCTGTGTTGGCCACAGTACACTGCATGCTGAGCCTGGACCACATGTCCATCCCATAGGAAATAAGCCTGTGGTAGATGCTGCACCCTTGAGATGGACCAGGTGTCCCCAGAGGGAGCCTCTGGGGCTCTGAAGACCACATTTGTCCCCACCTGTTGAGGGGCCTCTGAGGCCCTGCCCTGGACCCTGTGGGACTGTTGAAGGCCTCAGAGAGAAATGGTTGGAGTGCAGAGTGTTTTCACCATCAATGCAAGGAAGTCAGTTTCAAGGTTCTTGGGGTGGGGTCTTGCCCTACTGTGGCCTCTCTGCTGACCCCATCTCCTTAGCTACTGGGGGGTAAGGGTTAGGGAGGGCCCAACAGACCTGTGCTTACTCAGAACTCATCCTGGCCAAAGGTGAACAGGGAAATTCCTGTTCACATTCCCTGCCCCCAAACTGGCAGCACTCCTGCTGAAGAAATCTGCCCTCATTTAGCCCTTGCTGTGTGGAGGCCCCCACCAAGCCCAGAATGGTGCTGCAGCCATCAGGATAGACACAGGTGTCACCCCGCCCTGTATAGTATTGATAAATATGTTTGTGAATATCACACTATGACATTCTTAAGAAACTGCTGTCACCCAACCCCCCAGTTTGCCCAGTGGTGTTTGTCTTGTAGCACCTGTGGAGTGGCCATAGGTTCAAGGTCTATGTGGAAGCAGGACTGGCCATGAGTCATCACCTCTCAGGCCCTGGACAGGCCTTTGCTGGGGCCCAAGGCAGCTTTGTGACTGTCTCTCTCTTGAGTGCAATTTGTTTGCTGTCTCTTCCTGGGGTGTCTGGCATGTGGCCCTCCAGTGAGCAGCCTGCTGGCCCTGGAGTAGCTCAGGTCCTCTCCGATCTCTACCTGACTGGCTATCACAGCTATCCCCAGGCTCCAGGGTGGTACCCAGTGTCAGGGACTTGGCAGGAGGCACCTTGGTGGTCATAAGGCTTTGATGAAGAAAATTCAAAACAAATAGAAGACTGAAGCAAGGCAAGGCACTGCTGCTGGCCTTGCACCGTCCTCCCTCATCTGCTCTTGTCACCATGTGGTAATGGACATCCCTGGACAAAACTGTTGAAAAATCTGAATCATGCCTTGTCTTGGTCTGTTTAGACTGCTGTAATGAAAAACGAACAAAAACACACAGAGTGGGTGGTGTGTGCACCACAAAAGTTACTTCTCTTTGGGCCCCAGTGACCTACACCTGTAATCCTAGCTACTTGGGAAGCTGGGGAGGATCATGGTTCAAGGCCAGCCCTGGCAAACGTTTTGTGAGACTCATTTCCAAAATACCCAGAGCAAAATGGGTTGGAGGTGTGGTTCAAGTGTGAAGCACTGAGTTCAAACCCCAGTCCCACCAAAAGGTATTTCCCCCAGTGCTGGAGGCTGGAAGTTCAAGATGAGTCTGCTGAGGGCTTTCTGGCTCAGAGGGCGCTTTGCTGTGCCTCACATGGTGGAAGGGGCAGAAGTTCTCTGGGATCTCTATGAAGGCGCTAAATCCCATTCTTGGGGTTTTACCCTCGTCCTAACCACCCCCAAACCATCAGGGGTGAGGTGTCAACATGACTTGCAGCGGTATTCAGGCCACAGTGGGAAATGATACAGCGAAGATACCATTCAAGAGTGGGTCTGCCCGCTGTGCTAGGCCTCCATGTCCAGGTCCAGGCATGTGGGGGTGGAGGGAGTTGTGACTGAGCTGGGCCTCTGCCACCACTGTGCCTGGTTTCAGAGGGTTTGGGAGCAGCAGGCTGAGGAAGCGGAGAGTGAAGAGAAAAACCCAGACAACTGACAGCTTTCCCCATGTGCCTGGGTATGTTCTCAAACCTACCCCTAGTCTACCCAAGAGAAATAGAGACCATCCCATGAACGAGGAACCCTGATGTTCATGGCTGAGCTAGTCACCATGAGGAGGAATGAAATGTGGCTTTCCTGCAATGGCATATCATGAATGTAATATTGTGTCCAATCAGGCAGTGCTGATATCCATGAAATTAGCTATTTGGTAAAAAAAAAAGCTAGTAATACCTAACAGCTGACCTTGTCAGCATCCTATCCAGAGACTGGGTTGCCTGCCATCTGGGTGGGAAAGGGAATGTTGAGAAGTTGGGCCTGAGTATGCACAGCTCTACTGAGATCACGTGACTATGAACTGTGACCTGTGTCCACAAAGCTTGCACACAGCCTGGCCTCTGACCCTAGGTTCCCCAGGACACTGGCGGCACAATACTGTTGGTGTCTTCCGAGGACAGCCCACTGGTCAGCCCAGGAGGTCTGTTGCGCTGTAGGAAACTTTGGCCCAAGCTGCCCATGTACTGAGAAGGGGAGGGATGAGGCTTTGCTCATTTAGCTCTTGGACACCCCGGCCCCCTGTAGTGATACCCTGCAGGCCCTTTGGCCTGACTAGGAATAGGTGGCAAGAGCCTCCCCAGGAGCCCTGCAGGTCTTGACCCAGGGCAGTGACAGCCTCGCTCTCTCCCCTAAGGCTCTTTCAGTATTCAGGACTCCACCTGCCCAGACCGGCCATTTCTGGAATAGGGAGATGCCAGAATCCCAGGTGGAGTAAGCTCTTGGTGGGTTTTCTGAGGAGGAGCTCAGGAGCAGCTCCATGTACCTCTCCAAATGCCCCCGATCCAAACAAATGGGGGCTTGCAGGACCCTCACCAGAGCCTTGATGTCTCTGGGTATACGCTTGGCAGGGGAAGAGGGTGCTCTGTGGTCCTCCATGCCTACACGTATAGCTTCTGTGCCCTGCTCCCCCAGCAGTCTGGCACTGAGCCTGCATGCCCTCACCCTAATGGTTCTAGGGATGGTGAGCCACCCATGGCTGTCCTGAGCTCCTCCCAGCAATGGGAGTGCTCCACTGCCTTGGGTTTCCCATGCTAGGTTTTAAAGCCAGGGGTTTGGTGTACCATGCCATCCCCACATGGATGCCATGCTGGGTGGGGCTGCTCTTCATTCAGGCAGGCATCACCTCTGCACAGCATGGAGCCCTGCTGCTCCTCCAGGGCAGAGCCACCATGTGTCTCCCTGCTAATGCACCCTACAAGCCCAGGAGACAAGGATGCCAAGCGCAGAGGCCCCTGTGCAGGGTTCTCTCTTTAAAACTAAAGGTTTCCAGTTGTGCCCTGGCTGGGGGTGCTGAGATAAGGGCTACGAGGGTGACCCTCAGGGCTCCTGACCCCAACCCAACTCTCAGTTCCTGACCGGTGCTGGGGCAGGTGCTGCTGATGTACAGAGAAGGTGAAATGAAACACGGCACAGGAAAAGTGACTGCTTTAATGCATTAGGCAAAAATTTACATAAAATCAGAAACCTATGATCCATCTCTGCTGATTGCTGAAAAATGCAAGATTCATTACAAGCTGTGTGCAGTTAGACCCAAGTCAAAGGCAGTGCAGATGTGGGTCCAACCTCAGGTGCTGTTATTTCCCATTCTCTGCGCTGAACATTCGTTCCTAGAAATGAACACAATGTGAATCACATGGCATGAGTCATGTAGCTGCCCCCCACCATCCCTGCCAGGGCTGCAGTGACTGACTACCAGGGCTGGGGTAGGACCCATGAGTCCCAGGAATGTTCCCATGCCCTAGGATGGCTCTGGCAGGCCCCTCACTGGGTAGCAGGTGAGTGGGACCTCAAAGGGTCCCCACAGTTTCAGCTGTGGCCTGACTTTACTGCAGGTCACATTGCCCAAGGCTGCCCAGTCAGAACTCACCGTCAGCATCTGCTCCAACTTCACAGCGTCAGCAGCAAACTTTCGGATCCCATCAGAGAGCTTCTCCACAGCCATCTGGTCCTCATTGTGCAGCCAGCGGAAGGCCTTCTCATCCAGGTGTATCTTCTCCAAGTCACTGGCCTGGGCTGGGGGACACTACAGCTCTCCATGGCCTACCCTGACCCCTCGGGCTCAGAAGTGTCCCTAAGGTCCAGGCATGGCACCTCCCATCAGGGCAGCCCTCCCCTCCTCACACTGAGCCAGTGACTTGTGTGAATACACGTGTGGACCGCAGACGGGGTCCACAGCCTCACCAGGACAGAGGGACAGGGCTGGATCCTGGGCCTTACCCGCCTTGGCCGAGAGCACAGGAGCCAGCTTGGTACTGTCCTTGAGCAGCTCCCCTAGGAGCTTGGGAGAAATGGTGAGGAAGTCGCAGCCTGCCAGTGCTTTGATCTCGCCCGTGTTCCGGAAGGAGGCGCCCATGACAATGGTCTTATAGCCAAACTTCTTGTAGTAATTGTAGATTTTGGTGACACTCTTTACCCCTGGAGGATAGCTACCAAGTTACAGCCTGGCAGCTGCCCTCAACCCCCGGTCCTGCTGGACCCCACACCGGTCACACACACACACACACGGCACCTCGCCCTGCTCAATGACACCGCAGCCCCCCTCACCCCATGACCTCCAAGGGCAGCTCACCAGGGTCCTCCAGGGGCTCGTAGGATTTCTTGTCTGTGTTTGCCACATGCCAGTCAAGGATGCGCCCCACAAAGGGGGAAATGAGCGTCACACCTGCCTCGGCACAGGCCACGGCCTGGGCGAAGGAGAAGAGCAGCGTCATGTTGCAGTGGATGCCGTGCTGCTCCTCCAGCTCCCTATGAAGATGGGACAGGATGAGTAGTGGTGCAGACCAAACGCAGCCTCAGGCTGCTCTTGGGCACCTGCCGTTTCCATGTGGGAGGACACTGCAGTTTCCTAACTGAAGGGGCAGGAACAGGACTGTCCTTTGTTAGGAAGAAGCCTGGAGCTCCAGGATTGTGCCTGGATAGTGGGTTATGGGTAACCCAGCTTTCTTCACCACATCCACATTACAAAACAGGCAAAGGCAAGAAGATCTACATGCCTGCTCCAGCACCAGGATCCCAGGTCCCTCACATTATCACAAAGCTCATGTCACTATGTCATTGCTGACAGTAGCTAGTACCTCACTCTTTCTAGGGCCACCCAGCAAGCTCATGGCCCCAGCCTCTCGAGAAGCCCTGTGGCATGTTAAGCCCTCATCCAATGCCCACTCCCATGCACTGTGGATGTCTTGGGTGGATCTCCAAGGACAGAGCAGAGCCCACTCTGCCATATGCCTGGATGAGGGCTGCTCCAGCTACAGGTTCCCTCCCCAGGGCCAGCTTCAGAGGTGTCTTTGCCACTCGGATGTCCAAGAATGGGTGTAGCTCACACCATGCTGGGACAGCCAAAGTGGAGAGTGTCTTCCACTGACCGTGTGACTCAGCAACCCACTTCTCAGAATTTTCCCACAAGAAAGGAAAACTCAGGTCCACACCAAAGTGTGCATGGCTATGTTCAAAGCATTCCAGTGGTCCAAAAGTGCAAACAGACCATGTGACCAGCAAGAGATGAATGGGTGGACTTGTGGTTTATCCATACAATGGAACATTATTCAGCCAGAAAACAGAATGAAGCACTGGCACATGCTACATGTGGATAAACCTTAGATCATGCCAAGTGAGAGAAGCCAGACACAAAAGTTCACATGTTCTCTACTTCTTATGTGAAACATCCAGGACATGCAAATCCAGACAGAAGGGAGACCACTGGCTCTGGGTGGGGCCTGGTAGGGGAACAAGCAAAGGCAGATAGGAGACGAACGCATCTTACTGAGGCTCCTGTATCTGGGTGAGAGATACAGAGGAGTGCTGCTTGGATTTTACATTTTCTGTCTCTCCCACACTGAGCATGTAATTTGGGTAACAACTGTTTTCTTTTAAAAAACCATGTAAACTTAGGATTCATTGACTACTGAGAGGCAAAACCTGCAGCTGGTTAATGGGAAGCCTTCCTTTCCTCCTGGCTGCTGTGAAATGGCATTCCCTGGTCCAACCCTGAGCAGAGGGCACCTGGCTCAAAATTCCCCACTCTAGCCCCCAGAGCCGACAACTCCTTCCTTGTGGGGGGCACTTACTTTCCAGCCTGAATTCCCTCCCAGGTTGAAGATAGCTTGATGAGAATTCTGTCCTTGCTGATTCCTGCTTCCTTGTAAAGCTCGATGAGGCGCCTGGCTCGGGCCACCATTGCGTCCTTGTCAAAGGACAGCCTGTGAGAACAAAGGATGAGGTCCCCCTCAGATCACAAAGGACACCCACCAAGGGACAGTGTGTTGTCAGCAGGATGTCCTGTTAGCTGAGCCACTGTGTAAGCAAACCCCTTCTGTTCAGAGAGCATAGCATGACTCAGGAAGCAATCTGAGACCCCACTCAGGACCAGCATTCCTTAGTGGGATCCACAGGCTGATATTTTCATGAAAGACAGACTGGCAATCAGTCAAGCAGGTAAACAGGGAGCCCCATTGGTATGACTGTGAGAGATCTTAGAGAAGCAAACCTCCTCCTGAGCCATCAGTGCCACCAGGGGGACCTGCTGCCTCCCTATCCCACCCATCTACCTGGCATCTACTTCCGTGGATACGCGGCCCGGAATCTTCTTTAGTATTTCTGCTCCAAACAACACGAAAAGTTTATCAATAGCATTTTTAATCTGGTCCTCTTGTGGCCTGAAATTTAGAGGAAAACTGGGTTGGAAGCTTGTGAGGTTTCACAGAAGCCTACAAATCAAACGCTGTATTTCTTTGCCATATTACTGTCTCTCCATCTTTTTTTTTTTTTTTTCCCCTAAAACACTGTTCCAGCTGGGTATGGTGGTACACATCTGTAATCCCAGCATCAGGAGGCTGAGGCAGGAAGACTCAGAGCTAGCCTGGCCTGGCCTCAAACACAGAAAAAAACCCAAACCAGCTACTCAAGAGGCAGAGATTGGGAGGACTGCAGTTCCAGTCCAGCCAGGGCAAGAAATTTGTGAGACCCCAGAGCAACAAAAAGCTGGGTGTGGAACATGCCTGTCACCCCAGCTATATGTGGGGAAGCACAAATAAAAGGATGTGGTCCAGGCCAACCCAGACATAAAATGAGACCCGATCTTAAAAACAATGCTGCCAGGCGCCGGTGGCTCACACCTAGATACTCAAAAGGCAGAGATAGGGAGGATCAAGATTCGAAGCCCACCTAAGGCAAACAGTACATGAGATCCTATCTCAAAAAAACCCAATACAAAACAGGGCTGGTGGAGTGGCTCAAGTGATAAGAGTGCCTGCCTAGCAAAGCCTAGCAAGCGTGAGGCCCTGAATTCAAGGGCCAGTATCGCCCCCCCCCACCAAAAAAAACAACCAATGCCAAAAGTGCTGGAGTAGCTCAAGTGGTAGGGAGCCTGCCTAGCAAGTGGAATTTCCAAAGTTCAGACCTTAGTATAAAACAAACAACTAGATAAAAACTAAGAACAACAACAAAAAACCCAAAACCACTGTTTTATTGTGGTAAAATACCTCTACCAAAAAATCTACTATCTTGAACATTTTAAAGTTCAGTGGCCCTGAGCACATTCCCACCCTTGGGTACCACCCCACTCCCTCCAGAACATCCTCATCTTCCTAAACTGAATCCCTCTATGTTTTGGCACTTGCAAAAAGTTACCTTTTCACCTAAGTCAAAGAAGTGATACATGTTTAAGGGGATGGAAATGCTAAGTACCTTGATCTGATTATAAACATTGTATACATGTATCGAATTACGACATAGTACCCCATAAATGTGTACAATTACTGTATGTCAAAAAAAAAAAAACTACAAAGTATGATCTGTTTATATGATAATCTGGAAAAGGTAGAAATACCATTTAGAGAGCAGTGGAGCTGGGGACATGGGAAGGGAGCAGACGCAAGGGTAGAATATGCTGCACCTTATCTATAGTGGTTTGCTGAATTTTGTCAAGCTCTAACATGTAACCAAGGTGTAAATGTACTATAATAAAAACTGACTTGGCAAAAAGAGCTTTTCAATCTCTCCCAAGTTGCCTGAGCAGACAGCAGATAAAGTGCAGGTGCTGTTCCAAAATGAACCACAAGCTGAGGGTGTTCGTCAGTTCACTACACATGAAAATGTCTCAGCCAGTCTCACAGGTTGAACTCATGGGTCAGCCGTGTGCAGGAGCAGAACCTGTCCAGTGACCACCCAAAGCAAAGGCTTACCATCACCCAATTTCAGGAGTGCTGAGAGAGGAGGAAAGGGAAGCTGGCTATAATGGGGAAGGCAGGGCCAGGTTCAGTGTGCAGAGTAGCTGCCACACATGGCCAGGGAGAGACAGCTGCAGCCACTGGGCCACTCCTGCCCAGGCCACACTGCCTGCCTGGTGCAGCCCTCAGCTGGGCACTGTCACCATGGAAATTTTTAAATGATGTCTAGAGAACTGAAGGGGGTTGGAGGGGAAGGGGGGAGGAACGGTCCAAACAGTGTATGCACGTATAAATAAACGAATAAAAAATGATGTCTAGAAAACGCACAAGTATGGACCTTACAAGGTCTATGGTAGCTTAGGTCTGGGAGTGAGGACCCACTGCAAACAGGCACCAGGGAACATCCTGGAAAGTGACATGTTCTAATATCATATGTGGTGATGGCTGTATCACTGCACAGATTTACTAAAAGTCATCAGCTTGTGCTGTGAAATAAAGTGACAACCAGAAGACACTACAGTGGTTGAGAGGGCTGCAGGATTTGCCCGCAGAGGAAGGGCCTAGGGTGCTGCAGATGGCCTGTGTCTCCCATGTGGGGTGCTTACACTGGCACTGACACGTGCAGCTTACTCCATGCAAACCACACCTCAGTAAACACAAAGCCAGCATTCAGTGAAGAAGGAAACAAGCCGCTAACTAGCAAAGCCTCGGGGAAGGGGGGAGCCCTGGCACTCACCCGCCCAGCTTCTTGCCATAGGCGATGGCCTCCTCCACCAGCTCTTGGTAGGTGGGCATCTGTGCTGCAGCCAGGATCAGGGATGGGTTGGTGGTGGCATCCTGGGGCTTGTACTCATCAATGGCTAGGGAAGCAATTTTCAAAAGCAGGCGTGATTCAACCCAGGACTTTGCATATGCTGGGCAAGCATTCTACCATTGAGCTACACCCAAACCCTGACAGTTAATCTTTGTTTTGGGGGGTTGTTTTTTGTGGTAATGGGGTTTCAATTCAGGGCCTCACACTTGCTAGGCAGGCACTCTACCACTTGAGCCACTCCACAAGCCCTGTTTTCTGTTGGGTATTTTTGAGATAGGGGCTTGTGAACAATTTTTCTGGGCTTGGCTTTGAACTGCAATCCTCCTGACCTCTGCCTCCTGAGGAGCTAGGATTACAAGCATAAACCACCGGTGCCTGGCTTGACGGTTAATCTTGATTGTCAATATGACTGGGCTGAGAGTGCCTAGATTAGTAAAGCACACCTCTGAGTGTGTCTGTGAGGGCGTTTCCAGAGAGGGTAACTAAGGGAGGGAAGACCCGCCCTGAATGCGGGCAGCACCGCCTGTGGGACCCATGTAGGATAAAGAAGGAAAAAGCCAAAAGCGCAGGCATTCTCTGCTCCCTGCTCACCATGAGGTGAGCTACTGTTCCACCACACCTTGCCTACCATAATGGACTGAAATCTCTGATATTGTAAGTCAAAATGACCTTTCCTCCGTTAAGTTCACTTTCTCAGCTATTTTGCCACAGCAGCAAAAAACTGACTTAATCCAATAGGAAAATAAGCAGAGCACCTGTATCCACCTGACTAAGCGAGGTCCCCTTCAGCAGTTGAATAGGGCATGGGAACACTGCTCTCACAGCTCCTTTCCTCAGAGGCTGGCCAAGAAGCAGCTGTCTGCATAGTGATAAGACAGCAACCAACATAAGGTGCCTGACCCTGTCATGGTGGCACATGGCTGTAATACCAGCACTCAGGAGGCTGAAGCAGGAGAATCCAGAGTTCAAGGCCATCCTGGACTTTATAGCAAGACCCTGTCTCAAAAAAAAAAAAAAAAAGGCTAAGTGATGGGAGCAAACAAACTTCTGTAAGAGCTGACTTTCACCATCACCTGGGACCAATGTGCAAGGCCCCTGGGAAAACATGCACCAGGAGTGTGTCCTACTGCCCAGCAGACGCTAGGAGGCACACTGGTCCAACAGGACAGTATTCACAGTTGGCTTCAACAAATACTGTCTTTTCTAGCACAATTAGTTCTCTCTCAATTAAGAAAAGCCAGCACTGTACTCCTTTGCCTAGCTGCTCACCATTCTCTTCCCTTCTAATGGGGTCCTAAAAAATCTTTGCTTTCACCTACCCAAAAAATATATATTAAGAAAAGCCAATGGAGCTTGATCTTGGGCCCTGCCAGCTGGCCTGTCCCAATGGAATGTGCTGTGAAGAACAGGGACACAACCACTGAGGTCCAACTGCCCATTGTAGCAGGGACACAGTCATGGAGGCCCAGATGCCCATCATAGCAGGGGACTCGCTGGTCCAGAATGTTTGTTTGACAAATTAGTACTTTCAAAGTGTCCTTTGAAACAAAACTAGAGACAGAGAACAGAAGGGTTGGCCCTCTAGAACACAGAGGATCTCTGTAAACAGGACAGCTCTATGTCCTATCATGGTGCTAGTACAAATCTACATGTTATAAAACCTTGTGGAAACCCCCAGTGGAGGTCTGTAAGCAAACTGCTCACACTAGTGCTTGCTTCCCGGTTTGGATATCACTGGAGGAACTGGGTGAAGGGTTTCATGGGCTCCATGAGCTAATTTTGCAACTTCTGTGAGTCTACAATTATTTCAAAATAACAAGTTAGGAAAAAGTGTGCTCTAGCATGGTGCTGGCTCAGGTATACCAGTCTACTGAGTGATACACCAAAACTTTAGCATTTCATTGTATAAAATTACCCCTTGATAAAAGTTAGCTTTTAGCAAACTGCTTTTACTACAACTGAAAACAAAACCAAGGGGCTGGGGATATAGTTCAGTAGTACAGCACATGCTTAGCATGTGTGATGCCCTGAGCTGGATGCCCAGCACCAATCCCCCCCCCCCGCCCGCAGACCCATGGGGTCCACAGATGGGCTTCATGGTTCAGGAAACCTTCCACTGAGTACAAAACAAGGGGGTAAGTTGTTCTGGGAAGAGCTCCAGAGCTTTGATTCTATTTTCAGAGGCCTCTGACACCCAGGGAGTCAAGAAGTTTCACTCACAAAATACAGATCTCATTTAAAAACCCCTATGCACTGTTTACAATTACGTAACTTGTATTAATCTACATTATCAATAAATTTATTTTTAAATAAAGTTAAGATACATTTTAAAAAGTCAGCACTTGGTTTAGAGACTGCTAAAAAATAACACTCCCAGATCCCTCCTCCTATGGCCTTGGAAAATCCAGACATTGGCCCTGTACTACTAGAAGGTATAACAACTAGTTCTGTTCTACCTGGGGACAATCAGCAAGGAGTGATGCAGACAAGGGCTCCATGCACTCTGCAAACACTACAAATTATTCTTGGTGCTAAGGGAGAAAGCTGAGGAGTAGGCACAGGGACAGCCACCTTTGTGGCACTGTCTTATACATGGTCACCCGGAGAGATCCAGACTACAGGGGCAGAGGCCGTCATTGCTTGTGACTGGATCTCCTGAAGCCTTCTGACAAAAGTCCAGAGCTTCTATTTATTAGACAGGTTTGGGTCACCCTGTTAGACCCGGAGCCGGTCTCTGAGTCCATTCTTTACATTCAAGCAGCCAAATATGTCTAGTCACTCGCCGAGGCTCTGTTAGACAAACAATGCACGTACTCAGTTACCAAGAGGAATTAAAGCCTGTTTCTCAAGTCACCATGAGAAAGCAGAAAAGAGCGGAAGGCACTTTGAGATGTTCACAGCAAACATGAAGCAAGGCTCACTGCAAGGCCGGGAGCTAAGGGCGAGCCGTGCAACCCTCCTGTCTGCGTGTCTCCCAGCTCCCTCCGAGCCCGCACAGCCTGGGCGCGAGTCTGTGCTCAGCAGGTGGGGAGGACGCCCAGCCAGGGCAGGCACCTGCCGCGGACGGTCACCAGCTGGCCCCGCAGGAAGGCCAGTGCAACAGGCTGTGTTAGCAGGTGGTGTCCAGCGAGCGAGCGCGGCCCTCGTAAAGCCCAGCCGGCGGCACCGCACCGCGCGGAAGCTGCAAAACCTCCACGCACGCTTCACAAAGGTCACGGGGTCTCCGAAGGCTCCAGGCGGGTGTGGAGCCCAGAGAGCCTTCGCAGGACCCGTCGGTCCGGTCCGGTCCGGCCCGCGCGCCCAAAGCACCGCTGACCCCCGGCCTCGGCGCCCACGAGGCCCCGCCCTGGGCACAGCCACCTTAGTCTGGGTCCCAGAATTAGGGGCCGCCTCATGGCCCGCCCCACGCCCCCTCACCATGGAAATCGCCCGTGTCGGCCACCACGGTGGTGAACTGCTTGAGCTGGTCCAGCGTGGACTCCATCCTCTGGCGCTTCACTGGGGAGCCCGACATGGCGAGGCACAGACGACAGCGGGGGCGGCAGCGGCAGCGGTGGGAGCGCAGCTGCCCACAATGCCCCGCGCTCCCCGACCAATCGGAGCGGTGGGAGGCGAGGCCCCGCCCCGCAGAGACGACGCTCCGCCCTAGAGGCGAGGCCCCGCCCCGCAGAGACGACGCTCCGCCCTAGAGACGAGGCCCCGCCCCGGAGACGACGCTCCGCCCTAGAGGCGAGGCCCCGCCCCCCGGAGACGCCGCTCCGCCCTAGAGACGAGGCCCCGCCCCGGAGACGACGCTCCGCCCCCCTGAGGCGAGGCCCAGGCTATGGACGTGAGGTCCGGCTCAGGAGACTCGGCCGCGGATCCCGGCTCTGGGGTCTTCGTGCACAGTGTGGGAGGCCAGGACTCCCCGAGCACAAAGCATCGATTACGGGTGGGCCCAGGTCCGGGGAGCCCAGTTAAGGCACCAACGCGATGGGGACAGGGCGAACGGTCGGCCTACCCCCTTGAGGCAGCCGCTGGGCCGCCGCCCAGACGCCAGGACACCAGTTCTGCGGAACGACGACCAGGCCACGCCTGGGAACTAAGCAGACCCAGCTGTGCGACCCTACAGCCGTGGGGTCTTGAGAGGTCTTGATTGAAGAACCCTCCAGGGAACGTGTCCCAGTAAGAGGCATGAGTAGGAGGGTCGTCTGTGGGAAGTCAATGGTAAGAAACAGTGGCCGGAAGACCATCAGAAAAAAGAAAAATGTGCTGGTGGAATGAACGGCCTAAGCGATAGATAACGGCACCTGCTTAAGCAAGTATGAGATCCTGAGTTCAAACTTCAGTCCCACCAAAAAAAAAGAAAAAAAAAAAAGCCAGTAACCACGGAGGGCTTTATGTTTGGGTTTTCCTTGTTTGCTTGGTACTGGAGATTGAACCTCTTGCGCTTGCTAGCCTCAACCCCTTCAGCTAGAGCCACAGACCTTTTTTGTTTCTTTTTGTTGAGTTGGAGCTTTGCTGGGGCCGGCTTTGAACATGAGATCCTCCTACTTCTGACTCATGAGTCGCTGGGATTATAGGTGCAGACCACCATACCCAGCTTTGGGATCTGTCTTTTTACTATCATTATTTTTTATTTGTAGGAGTTTTTTTTATATATTCTGGACCAAGCCTTCTCAGATGTGTACGTGTTTCTTCTGATCTTTGGCTTACATTGCCTCCCATTTTTCTCAGTACTTTTTTTTTTTTAAATTTGAGACAAGACCTGGCTACTTATCCCCAGGCCAACCTTAAACTGTGGCTTCTCCTGCCTCAGCCTCCCAAGTGCTGGAATTACAGGTGTGTCCCATCACTCAACTGTCAACACTGTATCTTTTTTTTTTCTTTTTTTTGTAGTACTGGGGTTTGAACTCAGGGCTTGGCACTTGCAAAGCAGGTGCTCTACCACTTGAGCCACACCTCTAATCCATTTTGCTCTGTTTACTTTGGAGATGGGGGAACCCGGAACTGTTTGCTCAGGCTGGCCTCAAACTTCAGTCCTCCTGATCTCAGCCTCCCAAGCAGCTAGGATTATAGGTGTGAGCCACAGGTGCCCAGCTGTTTTTTTTATAGTGTTGGGAATGGAACTCAGAGCTCCTGCATGCTAAGCATGTGCTGTACCACAGAGCCACCTCCCAGCCCTGGTTTAGCTTTTATGCTGGAGTCTTAGAGGGAGGTCCTTGGGTTGACTCTTAGGTGGCAGAGAGGAAGAGCCTTTGCTCTCCACAGGCATGGGACCTGGTCAGTCCTTGGTCCACTGAGATGCCAAAACAGGAACTATAGTTCACAGAAGATTCAGACTGTGGGGAAGTGTAGCTAAAGTCCACAGTGAGACAGCTCCATCCTTGGACCACTCTGTCCTTGGACACCCCATCCTGTGAAAGCCCTATCCTGCTCAGAAGGCAGCAGTGAGAAAACTGAGTGCTGGCAAGCATACAGAGGAACCAGGCGGGAATCAGATGCACGTGGGAAGTGATCAGGTTCCTTGTGAAGTCCAGCAGGTGATCATCACAAGAACTAGCAATTTGGCTCCTCAGATCAGAACCGTCCATCCAAAGATACTCCTAGCAGCTTTGTTTGATAAAAGCTCAAAACTGAAGACAGCTCAGTGCCCCCAGCAGTAGAACTGCCGAGTAGACCAAGTGCCTCATCCTGCACTCCCCAGTACAGGGATTGGACTATAGATGCAGGTACTGCCAAGCTGGGCTTCATAAGCCCTGTGGAAAGAAAGTAACAGGAGGCTACTTCAGAAGAACGCATATGAATTACTCCATTTGTATCAAGTTCAGGACCAGACAGAGTTTCTGCATGGTGACTCCAAGGGCTGCAGGGGCCATTTCTGGGGATTGATCCACAAGGTGTGAGGACACAAGGAAGACTCCAGCAGGTGGTTGATCAGAGAAGGGCTTGGAAGCATCTCTTGCCCCTCAGGCTGGGCGTGTGCTTTCCCCCTGCTTCCATTAGTCAGGCCTTGACCTGCAGATTTAGAGAAACCTGTACCTTACTCCCTATGAATATCTCACTTTCCGTGGAAACCAGGCGCTCCTCAGCCAGGGCTCCCAGGCCAGAGCAGCAGTCAAGCAGCACAAATTGCTCATTAGGTCAGACAAAAGCCACAAGGGTGCCTGCAGATGTGGAAGTTTTCCCGTGTGAGAGACCCTGTCACAGGTGGGACAACTAGTACTGGACATCTGCCTTTGTGAAAATGCATTCTTTGTAGGGCACACTGAACACTCCTGTCCAAATCCCTTCGTTTCCCTTAGGGAAATGGGTTTCAGCTGCCCTGGCTCTGGAGCCTCAATTTGGCTGGAGGGCCTTCAAACGGACCTGAGGGAGCTTTCTGGGGTGATGGAATGCTAGTGATAATGGCTTCACAGTGTGGTCCCAGCCGTAGCATCACCCTGACAGTAGTTAAGTGTCCCTTCCCCAGCCCCAATGCTGCAGTCAGCAGGTCCAGTTGAGCCCAGGTGTTCCTGTTTTCCTGGGGTAAGGATCACACCTCTGTGCATTTCCAAGTATGAACAAAAAAAAAAAAGTGCTGGTGGAGTGGCTCAAGGTGAAGGCACTGAGTTCAAAACCAGTACTGCAAAAAAAGAAAGAAAGAAACAAGTCCACTGTTGTTGGTCCTGACACCAAGGTAGATGACAGAAATACCTCGGGTTTGGGGATGAGTTTGCAACAGCAGGACTACCACACCAAGACCAAGGGACAGGTGGGGCTGCTGCTCAGATCCCGTTTGCCCTGGCTCCACATGTATCCCAAGTTGTGCCCTGAGCGCAGAATACAGAAGCCACAGGCAAGGGCTGGGGAGACTTGAGTCCAGGGGATGCATCAGCTTGTTGGGAAGTGCGCTGGACACTCCCCTTCTTGCTGCAAACACTGGCAGCAGTCCACCATTCACCTCCCATCCAGCAGGGTTCCAACACACTTTCCATCTGTGTGGGTGAGCAGAGCTGACAGGTGGGTGTGTTCAGCTTTGTTTCATTTTGCAGAAGGAGACTGAGGCACTGGGCCAGAAAGGGAGGAGGGGTCTTGCTGGCTGAGCCTGTTCTCTGACATTCAGAAACTTGTCTGACCTGCATGGGGAAGAAGAGGGAGTTGTCCATAGACTTTGCACCTGACCTTCTTGCTGACTCGGGGAACCACCGGAATTGTTGCTCCCTCTTCCAGCCTTGCATGAAGGGGCCATGATGTGCCCTAGGCTGAGGTAGCCACCTTTTGGCTGCTGGTGCATGTGACACACTGAAGGATAGAAATGATGCATCCAGCTGGCATCAGGAAGGTGAGCTTCTTCCAGCCTTTGTAAACCCTGTCACTCAAACAGGCTGATTCTGCCTGCCACACGATGCCAATCACAGAAAGGATGAGTTTCTCAGAAGAAAAAGTTTATTCATGAGGCAGCCCCACGTGGAGCCGAAAGCAGGTCTCAAATCCACCTGTCCATGATAGGGCCAAGCTAAAGAAAAGGGGGTCTGAGGCATGGGGACAGCTGGGAGGGGAGAGAGAAGGGACAGACAGGAGGTAGTCTGAGTGTGGATAGTCAAGTCTTCATGGCTCCTAAGAAGGTGGTTAGTGTGCTCCCAGGGTGGAGTTTGACCTTCGATGCCAAAAGATCACAGGGGCCCCTGAACTAGACAAAAGCAGCCTCCAACTTCCTGAAAAACAAACCTGGGCAGCTTTACCATTATGACCATCCTGACCCACTCCTCAGGGGTGCTGTCTGTGGCAAAGCTAATGGGAGCAGAGTGCTCAGCACATGCCTACTGACATGGAAATATGAGCAGGTGGAGCTGCAGGGTTGGTTTGGGTGTCCCCTGATTCAACCTGAAATCATCACATTGCCACTGACAAAACTGTCTACCACCCAGCCCGAGGGCACACAGAGCTGCTGCAATGGTTTGTGGGGACAAGGAAAGGAAGGACTCTGGACCCAGGGATCAAATTGTTACTTGCACTTCCAAGTGGCTGTCAGAAGGCAAATTTACAACAACTCAGTTTAAATATCTTAATTGACTATTGTCAATGCTGGATCAGGCAGCACTTCATTTGGTAAGCCAGAAGAGGGTGTCCTCATTTGGTGTTTAGCCTGTGTCTTGGGGCTCCAGTACAGGAGTTTGTCCCAAACAGTGGCCTCTTAGTAACTCAGCAGGAAGAAGAGGTGGAGCCAGAGCCCCAGGGTGCAGGAAGCTGGGCAGAGGAGGGAGGGAGGGAGACACACAGGGAGGGAACTTGGAGGCTGTGGAAATAGCCCTGCTGGGGGCTCCTGGGTGCCCTGCTCAGCGCTTGTGGCTTGGCCCACCCTGTAATCAGGAGTTCTAGCCCAGAGGCCTAACTCTGGGGATTCCAACATGTCAGGTCTGGACACTTGCCCCAATAGGCTAAATAAAGGGCAGAGAAAGGATATTTACTACTGCAGCCCGGACAAACCACAGGGAAGTAAGCACTTCAGCCCATCTTCCTGGTACAGACATGAGCTTTAGGCTTAAACAGAGGAAGAATTGGGGTGAGAGGTCTGTTTAATTACCAAACAGTCCCAGTCATAGGTGTGGTCTTGTTGAT